CTTTAGCCTTGAGCACATTGTTATTCAAAGATTGAACAAAACATTATTTTTGCTCCTTTTTGGCCAATGAACCTGAAAATATATAAAAACATGCAAATGAAGATAATCTATATAGAACAATCAAATAATGGACTTAACTAATGCAGCTAAGGGTGTTTGAATATGCAATATTCGGTGCTTATCACACCCCCAAACTTACATTTTGCTAGTCCCTTAGCAAAACTAAAATGAAATACTCAATGAAATGACAACAATGGGAATGCTACCACAAAAATATCACCCATGGCAAAATGAAATATATACATAGCTCAAATACAACTCGAAACAAACAAAGGACTGGAGACGGGGTCATTAAATAGACTACCATGCATATATGAAGCATTGATACAAAAATTGGCTAAACACATTTCAATATACATGCATCTACATCCTAGTCTATATAAATAACTCAATTGTCATCTCTTGAATGGAAATCAACTCTAGCTTCAGTGAAAGTGGATTGGATTCACAACATGCGGCTTTTACTTTCTTTTTCCAATTTCAAGACACAAGTCTTCAAATCATTGAATTCCCTTTTAAATAAAGTCCATAAGGTATGAATTTATTTACAAAACAACTTTTGTTGATTGTTGACAATTTATTATAACTCAAAAATGATACATAAAATGGTTGTGCAATGCTGAAATCCTTTAAGCTTTCTAACCAACTCATGTAGCAAGTGTTAGGCCAACAACTCCCAAACCAGATGGCTTTAGGATGCTGAGTGTAGAGACACTCCTAGGGCTTAATAGCTCGAATTGGCAAGGCTACGAACTCCAACGAACCATGTTTATTACAATATATATATATATTTTTTGAATGACCGTGCAATGCATAAGTCTTTTAAGCTTTCTAACCAACCCATGTAGCAAGCGTTAGGCCAACAACTCCCAAACCAAATGGCTTTAGGGTGCTGAGTGTAGAGACACTCCTAAGGCTTAATAACTCGAGTTGGAAAGGCTACAAACTCAAACTGGTCATTATTTTCTTTTTCATTCATATTTTTTTTTAATTTTTTTTTTATTTTATTATCATGCCAAAGGTATCCATCTATTAGGTTCATCAATTCAGATTAACTAAGTCAAGATCAAGGTTAATCAAGTTACATGCCTCACGGTTAAGTTTCCAATGTGCATCTGTGCATTGTGAAGCATAAAAGAGTATAAGATCCAGCAAGAATTTAATTGAAACATTTATAAAGACTAAATTGCATCCACATGATCATTTCAAATTCACGTTTTTCTTTATTTTCAAAAATTCACAATTGCTTCTATATACAAGGTATTAAACATATGCTTCATCTCCGACAAGTTTCAAATTATACTATCATTGCTTAGCAAAAATATGGAACCAACAATGCAAAATTGCACCCCCAAACTTGAAGTACACATTGTCCTCAATGTGTGAGACAAAGATGTATAAATAAAGGGCATAGGGGATAAAAGGAACAAAAATACTAGGTAGACTAACGAAGGCAAGGGTTTCCATCTATGTGAATGCGCAAATGTGTCCCCCAAACTTGAAATGTGACACCTGAAATGGGATACGAAGAAAAGGCAGAGACAACTATAAAAATAGTAATAAACAATAAAACATGGAAGGAAAAATGCTAAACAGAAGATAACAGAAAAGTGAGAGAATTTGCATTCAAAATGACATGATTACAAAAGGAACGGAAAGTCAATCATGTCTAACCAGAGCAACTCGTGCATAGCACAGTCCTAAAGTTTAAAAGGAAAACAAAAACAGAAAAGAAAAAATATACATATGCGAAACAAAACGATAAAGTCCAACACTGGCAACTATCTACGAGGCAGGGGGAAAACAGGCGAAGATGGCATTGAGGAGAGATTGAGTCTCACGCTGTTCCTCCTGTGCCACGCAACAGTCCTCTGCCGCAACACGGCAGTCGTTTGCAGTAAGACGATGGTCTTCTTCGGCACGGAAGAAGTCCTCACGCACAGTCTAAGTGTAGTCTGCCAAAGAAATCTCAAAATGATCTATCCGCTCATGAATACCGGCAAGACTAGCTCGGATGAAGGCCTGGTCCGACGGAAGATCAACAGGAGGCTCATCCCATTCAGCGTCCTCCACCCTGGGATCATCCTCAGAAAAAAGGAGGAGATGGAGAGTGGGGCAATGGAGGAGCAGCGAGCCGAGGGTGCCGAGAATGGCTTAGAACATTGGTCCACTGGTGGAGAGTAAAAGTTTGAATCTTTTTGCCTCTCGGTTCATGAGGAGGAACAATGAAGCCTTTGTGCTTCAAGAGCTTGATAACGAAGAATGGCAATGGCAAAGGCCGATTTTTAAGACGCTGCTGTCGTGCATTGATACACTCATCCCAAAACCACATAAATGTGTTCTAAATAAGCTCCGGGATAGAGAACCATTTGCCTTGGTCCATGGCATACAAGGCTTGCAACATCAGGCCTCGGTGCTCGGTGCTGTGCGCCAAGGGGTAAACATTATGCTTGAGAATGGAGTCAAGGAACCAAACTCGCTCTGGAAGAGTGGATTTGAGGGTAAAGCTCCAGGGTCGATGAGGGTCATCCACGTTGTAAATGGCAGCGATAACCTACTCCACAGTTAAAGTATTCGGCTCCTCATATAAAGGGAGATTCTCACGATTGACAATGTCATCGGGGCACTCCAGAGGACAGCCAGAAACTGCCACTATGTCAGCAAGAATAAAGGAAAAAGGGATGCCATCAATGGATGTGGTGAGAGAGACCGGCGGCTCTTCAGGGCAATTAAGATTCTGGTAGAAGAGTCGCACCACACGGGGGTAGGTGACCTTTGCAACGGGTTGGCAAATGTGCTGAAGACGCCGGTTGACTAATTCCGCGGCAGCCCATAAAGTGGTGGGAAGAGTGTCAAAGACACCCGTGAGCGGGAAGAGAAGCTTATAATTGAGCTTTTTGTCAAGCCAAGGGGCTCAGGGTTGCTCATAAGGAACAACGGGGACATCCTCAGAGGGTTTAGGATGACGAAAAGGGCCGGCACGAGACATTTGAAGAGGCGGACGTGGTTGGGGAATTTCAGCGAGCACCTGGCATGCACCAAGAAAGAGAGAATGTGTGAATGAGAGGAATGGATGAAGAAACCCAAAAATTTTTAGACATAATGCTCTCTATTGTAGAGCATAGAAACAATCACAACTAAACTCCAAGGATTTAATGCCCATACTCCTCAAATGTAACATAAATGGAACAAAAAGAATGAAGAGAAAGAGGGAAGAGACATACCTTGAAAGAGAAATGAAGAGAAGCACGGATGGAATGAGGAGGAATAGTGGGGGTGAAGGGTATTTATAGGGATGGATGTGTAGGAAGGAGATGAGTGAAATGGGTAGAGGAATTATGGAAGGGAGGGGAAAAGGTAGGAGGATATGGGTGGTTGGTGCATGAATGAGAGTAATAGGATGGCTTAGGAGGTAATGGAGGAAGAGAGGAAGTTGGAAGGGTTGAGGTCGTGGGGTGATGGAAGGAGTGTGGGGGTGGGAGGAAAGTAATGGAAGAGAGGAAGTTGGAAATGGAGGGATGAGGTCGTGGGCTTAGAGAATTGAAAGACGCGGGAGAGAGAGAGTCCAGATTAAAAAGGTGGGAGGGGGGTTCGAGCGCTCGAAGTTAGGCCTTCGAGCGCTCGAACTTTGGGCAGTGAGTTTCGATTGCTCGAAAGTGACACTTCGAGCGCTCGAAGTTTGGACAGTGAGTTTTTATGGGCTTTTGAGTGCTCAAAGTGTGTCTTCGAGCTCTCGAACTTGAGGCAGTAGGTGTTTAAATGAAAAATGGAAGCTTCGAGTACTCGAAGCTTGGACTTCGAGTGCTCGAAATTAGACTAATGAGCACAAGCCTGGGTGAAATGACTGAAATTGCCAATTTTTCAACATCTCTCCAATGCATGGATGGAATATGGGAAAAATTTTCAAACTTTGCAATATCACTCCAATACATAAATGGAATTTGGGAAAAATTTTCAAACTTTGCAACATCACTCCAATACATGGATGGAATTTGGGGAACCATGATCCAACAATGCATTAAAAATGAGAAGTTATACACATATGTAGCATTCCAAAGATCCGATGAAATTGCTGGAAAGAAATAGAAACATCCGGGAATGAAAATAAGGGTTGAGAAGGTCTAAGAAAACTAGTCTGAATTGCGAGAACACAATTTAAAAAGGTTCCAGATAAGGTTAAAGTTTTGGCTTTTCTTAACCATTTCCCAGAAAATTTCAAGGCTCAGGCAATTAGAAAAGTAGAGAAGCCTGGAAATAGAAAGAATTGCTTCCCTTGCTTTGCTAAATTTAAAGTCGATAGCTAGACGAAGCTAGAGCAGGCATCAATCCTCATAAATTGGGTCCGTTAAGAAGACTTTCTTAATTTTTTGGGTTGGGACTATGCCGTCAATGCAAGGCTTAAGTCGTTGGCCATTTACTTTGAAGAGCGATCCTTTTGCAGGATCTTGGAGTTCGATTGCTCCATGAGGGAAGACAGTAGTGACGATGTATGGACCATCCCATCTTGACCGGAGTTTACCGGGAAAGAGTTTCAAGCGGGAATTGAAAAGCCAAACCTTTTGTCCCGGGGTGAAAGACTTACTAACAATATGCTTGTCATGAAAAGCTTTAGTCTTTGCCTTATAGATTTTGGCACTTTCATATGCATCATTTCAGATTTCCTCAAGTTCATTTAGTTGCGAAGCACGATTAAAGCCGACCTATTTGAGATCAAAATTTAGCCTTTTTATGGCCCAAAAAGCACGGTGCTCTAATTCTACCGGAAGATGACACGCTTTGCTAAAGACAAGTCGATATGGCGACATGCCAATGGGTGTCTTATAAGCCGTCCGGTAAGCCCAAAGTGCATCGTCTAGTCTTAGTGACCAATCTTTGCGGTCCGATCGAACCGTTTTTTCCAAAATGTGCTTTATCTGCCGGTTAGAAACCTCTACTTGACCACTCGTTTGAGGATGGTAAGGTGTAGCAACCTTATGAATGACGGAATACTTAGAAAGGACGGATTTAAGATAATGATTTCTGAAATGTGATCCGTCATCGCTGATGATTGCTCGGGGCGTACCAAAATGACTAAAGATGTTAGATTGAATGAACTTAATCATGACTTTATGATCACTGGTTCTGGTGGTCGCGGCTTCCACCCATTTGGAAACATAGTCCACCGCTACAAGGATGTACTTATAGCCATAAGAAGGTGGAAATGGTCCCATGAAGTCGATTCCCCACACATCAAAAATTTCAATTATTAAGATAGAAGTGAGGGGCATCATGTCTCTTTGGGACATGGATCCGAGCCTTTGGCATCTTTCATATGATTTACAGAAATTGTATGCATCTCGAAACAAGGAAGGCCAATAGAATCCGCTTTGAAGAACTTTGTGAGTGGTCTTTTTGGCACTGAAATGGCCTCCACAAGCAAGAGTATGAGAGAAATTGAGGATGCTTGTGGTCTCAGTTTCGGGAATACATCGCCGGATTATTTGGTCCGGGCAGTATTTGAATAGTTCCGGATCTTCCCAAAAGAAATGCTTGACTTGGGAGAAGAACCGGTCCTTCTCTTGTTTGGACCAATGAGTTGGAATTTTACCTACCGCAAGGTAGTTAACAATATCCGCAAACCATGGAAGATTTGCATGGGAAATCTGGAAGAGTTGTTCATCCGGAAAGGAATCACGGACAGCGGCGAAATCGGAAGATTTTTCAATGAGTAAGCGAGAGAGATGATCGGCGACAACATTGTCTGCCCCTTTTTTGTCCCGGATTTCAATGTCAAACTCTTGAAGTAAGAGTATCCATCAAATCAAGCGGGGTTTGGTCTCTTTCTTTGATAACAAGTGCCGAAGGGCGGCATGATCCAAGAAAACTATGACCTTGGAACCTAGAAGATAGGAGCGGAATTTGTCCAAAGCATAAACTACAGCTAGCAACTCTTTTTTAGTAGTTGCGTAATTTAATTGAGCATCAGAAAGAGTTCGACTAGCGTAATAAATGACGTATGGGAGCTTGTCCACACGTTGGCCTAAAACCGCGCCTAATGCATAATCGGATGCATCATACATGATCTCAAACGAAAGAGACCAATTAAGCGGTTTCATTATTGGGGCAGATGAGAGGAGAGTACGAAGTTTAATGAAAGCTTTCATACAAGCTTCATCAAAATTGAATGGAACATCCTTGGCTAAGAGATTACACAAGGGCCGTGAGATTTTGCTAAAGTCTTTGATGAAGCGACGATAGAATCCGGCATGGCCAAGAAAAGAATGGATTTGACGGACAAAATTCGGAGGAGGAAGATTAGTTAAAGATTAGAGATTAACTCAACTTTGGCCTTGTCTACCTTGATTCCCCGTTTAGAGATGACATGTCCTAGAACAATGCCTTCTTGGACCATGAAATGGCTTTTCTCCCAGCTTAGAATTAGATTTGTCTCCTTGCATCTTTGGAGCACAAAAGATAAATTTTTGAGACATGAATCAAAGGAGGAGCCAAAGATAGAAAAATTGTCCATGAAAACTTCCAAGAATTTTTCAACCATATCGAAAAATATGGACATCATACACCTTTGAAATGTTGCCAGAGCATTGCATAGCCCAAAAGGCATGCGTCGATATGGAAAAGTTCCAAAGGGACATGTGAATGTTGTTTTCTCTTGATCTTGGGGGGCGATTGCCACTTGGTTATAGCTGGAATAACAGTCAAGAAAACAATAGTAGCTTTGGCCGGCTAACCTTTCTAGGATTTGATCAATAAATGGTAGTGGAAAATGATCTTTCCTAGTTGACGAATTAAGCTTCCGGTAATCAATACACACACGCCACCCAGTGGTGGTTCGTTGTGGCACGAGCTCACCCGCTGAATTTTCAACAACGGTGAGACCGGATTTCTTAGGAACAACTAGTGTGGGGCTTACCCACTTACTATCAGAGATGGGGTAGATGATTCCCGCATCTAGCAATTTTATCACTTCCTTCATTACCACTTCCTTCATGTTAGGATTTAACTGGCACTGAACCTCTCTAGTAGGCTTTGCGTCCTCCTCCATATGAATGCGGTGCATACAAATGGAGGGATCAATTCCCTTCAAGTCAGCCACTGCCCAACCAATAGCTTCTTTGTGCTCTTGTAGCACTGCTAAAAGGTTAGTTTCTTGGTCCTTTAGAAGGTCTGATGCAATGATGACCGGGAGTGTTTGATTTGAACCAAGGAATACATACTTGAGATGGGCCAGGAGCGACTTAAGCTCAAGTAGTGGTGGAGATTTCAGAGACGGAACCGGAGGAGTAGTAAAAAGCTGAGGAAGCGGCTCTCTTGGAATTTTCCAAGGGGGAATATCCATGATAGCGTCGACATCAAGCAGAGAATTAACTTCTTGGATGGATTGATCAATGTCAAAGTTTGAGAAGTCGAAATGAGACATACAAGTTTGAAGGGGGTCCTTGCTTAGAATGAAGGGGAGAGATTCTTCGACCACTTCATCAATGACATCAACAAGGAAACAATCATCCTCATTGGAAGGATGTTGAGTTGCATGAAAGATATGGAGTTTGACTTGCATATTTCCAAAAACAATGTCCATCACCCCGGTTCGGCAATTAATTAATGCATTAGCCGTAGCTAAGAATGGCCCACCAAGGATCATGGTAATATGCTTTTTTGGATCGTGGACCGGTTTCGTGTCAAGAACCATAAAGTCTACCGGGAAGTAGAATTTGTCCACTTGGATGATAACATCCTTAAGAATGCCTCGTGGATGCTTGACCGATCTATCGGTAAGTTACAAAACCATGGAAGTCGGCTTTAAATCTCCTAGGCCAAGCTGTAAGTAAACTGAGTATGGAATTAAATTCACACTAGCTCCTAAGTCAAGGAGGGCCCTCTCGATTTTGTTGTCACCAATGACACAAGAGATTGTGGGGGCACCCGGATCCTTATACTTTGGAGGAGTGCTGTGCTGAATGATAGCACTAACATTTTCAGTTAACCTCACTTTCTTTGGCAAATGACTTTTAGAAGTGCGCTTTTGAGTGCACAAGTCTTTGAGAAATTTTGCATAAGGAGGGATTTGCTTGATAGCATCCAAGAGGGGCAAGTTGATCTTTACTTGCTTGAAAACTTCCCACATGTCTTGAATTTTACAATTCTTGTTCCCAATATGTGTTGACTCTTGAAGACATTAAGGAATCGGAGCTTTTGGGTCATAAGTAGTTTCCACATTTGGGTTAACATGTGTGGGATTTTCGTGAATGGTATTTGGACGAGAAGAGCTTGGAATTTGATTGGAAGAGCTTGAATTTGGATTTTTCAAAGGAGGTTCTTTTTCATTTTTGTCTCCATCAACCTTGTTGTCAACCACTCTACCACTCCTAGAGGTGGTGATTGCTTGAACATGCTCATGACTCAGCCCACTCGATGGAGGGGTTTCATCAATCGCATGTATCCCTCTAGGATTTTCAAATGGTTGAGCGGGAAGCTTACCTTTGTCCTTTTGAAGCAATTGGTTCATAGAGTTAGCTATTTGGCCCACCTGATTTTCGAGCTTAACTATGGATTGAGTATGAGAGTGAACCATTTGAAGAGTAGGCTGCAAAGATGTCAAGAGTTGCTTGTTAGAATCCATCATTTGCTTGTTTGCAGCCACAATTTCATCAGTTGGGTACACCGGAGGTTGATTAGAGACATTTGGATTATACGAAGGACGGTAGCTTAAAGAGGCTGGAAATTGCCTATTTTGAAATTGAGGAGGGGGCTGATTTTGATGCCCTTGATTTTGGAATTGGGAATTTTGTGGGGTTTGTTGCCGCCACAAAAAATTTGGGTGATCTCGCTATCTCGGATTGTAGGTAGTGGAATAGGGATTAGTCCCGGATCTTGAGAACATGGCATTAGCTTGCTCTTGATTTGGATTGGAAAATTGCTCCGGTGTGGGGCAATCTTCTGTGAGATGGAATAGACTAGTATACGATGAGCATACCGAACTTGCCGAATTTTGAGATAATGAAGGAGAGAGATGTGGTGCCATCAATTGATAGAATTTATGAGCTATGGCATCCACTTGGGATGAATCCTCCCTTATTGATTTTGGTTGATAAGGGTTGGTGTTCTTTACATTGGTTGAGGTCGGAGCCCTACGAGAATTATGTTGAAGTGAATTTTCGCTTAAATTCTCTACTAGGGTCCAAGCCTCATCCGCATTCTTGGACATGAACATCCCACCACAAGAAGAGTCAACCATGAATCTATGGGGTTCGGTCAAGCCAGCATAGAAAGCTTGCACTAATTGCCATTTTGGAATCAAATGATGCGGATATTTTCTAAGAAGGTCTTGTAGCCTTTCCCAAGTCTCGTAGAGTTGTTCTCCATCCGTTTGAGAAAAGCTAAGAATGGAACGCCTCATTTGGTTGGTTTTACTCACCGGATAATACTTCTTAAGGAATTCTTACTGTAATTGACCCCAAGAAGTGATGGAATTTGGAGTGAGTGAGTTTAACCAATACTTTGCCCTATCTTTAAAAGAAAATGGGAAAAGATGCAGATGGAGTGCATTCTCAGGAAAACCTCTCAACCGGATGGTCGAATAGATTTCAAGGAATTCATCAAGATGCTTATATGGATCTTCATTATCAAGGCCATGGAAAGATGGAAGCATTTGAATGGTACTTGATTTGATCTCATATTGAGCCGCATCGATGTTTGGAATCACTATGCATGAAGGTGAAGCACATGTAGTAGGGATGAAATGGTCCCTGAGAGTCATTGGCTCTACATTTGGAATTTCGGCCCTATCATTATTAATTCCCTCATTTCTGACATCTCCTACATTTTCAGCCATTGTGTTAAATTCAGTTTCAAGTTCTCTTATGCTAGAAGATTCCCTAAGGTTTCGTTTAAGAGTTCTTTCAAGTGAATTTATGTCAACTGGCAAGTCAAGAGTTGGTAGGGAGAGCGATCTACGGCCAAACATCAACAATACATAATGCTATCAATGCTACTATTCATTATTCACAGCTCTACATACGATGTTCCCATTCTCCTCAATTATCAAGACAGAATTTAAATGGCCACGACAAGGACCGATGCTTGTACACGAAATTTAAACAAGATAAAAGCCTCAACCAGGGCTTTAAAACTAAATTATCAATAAGTTTAACACATGCACAATATATTACAATGATGAAACTAGAAGGTCAAGAGACTTACCTGGAGTCCTCTAGACTTACAAATTAGCTAGTTTTCCCTCGGCGAGCTACTAATCCCTAGAATCTCACTTACAACACATGGTGGTCAAACTAAAAAAGAAATATTCACAATTCATGATATTAACAATCACACTAAAATTAACCCTAAAACTTCGGTTGCTAAACCGTTTGCAGTCCCCGGCAACGGGCCCAAAAATTGATCGGTTGAGTCGATTATAATTATAAATCAACCATCGCAATAGCATGAATCATTGTAAAATAAGGCTATTGGTCGGGTAAGTCGAACCACTGGGACTACGCTAATCTATGGCAACCTAAGTGTCTAGAGTCTTTTTAGAATGATATAGGGTGTTCATAGAGGATTTGTTGGTTGTCAATTAAGCTATGTAATTAAGGTGCATAAAATAAAAGCTTGCAAGAATTTAAAGGAGATGAAATACAAGTAAAGAGGACTAGGGAAGTGAATCCGCCTCCATTCCTATACACATGCTAGATTAGAGTTAAATTGGGGGAAAAACAATATATATTATGGTCATGATACATAGCAACACTTGGTTGCTATAGTATCCTCAAGAAGTTCATTAAATCTGAAGCAAGCATGATCTATCAAAGGTTAACATGTTTAGACTACCTAACTAAGGTGTAGCTTAACCACATTTACTTAAATGAAATATTATCAAGCCCTAGATAATATGATGAAGCACATGAAGGTAAGAAATAAGCATAAACCATCAAAGGTTTCACCTAAGCAATGATCTATCAAAGTACTTATCAACATGCCATTAAACCATTTCATAACCTTGTCTCCATTCTCACCATGAAAACTCAAGCAATATGATTAATATAAGACATCATCTAAAACAAGATAATCAACTTAAAGAAATCATCCATATATGTCAACATTCATTACAACAAATGAAGTGCTCTTGGTTATGAAAAAATCATAGAATATACATTGTAATCCCCAAAATATAGCCTAAATTAGAACATGCTTACAAGGGAGGGGCCTCATCACCTCCCTAGATGGATGTTTAGTTACCCATGGAAGCTCTAAAGGAAGGAAGAAGCTTGGTCTCCATCCCTATTTTTGAGCTCCTTTGTTATAGCTTCAAGAACTCTATCTTCTCCTCCTCTTTCTTTCTCCAAAAATCTTGCAAAGATGAGATATGATATATGTTATGTGGTTCTCCTCACCTTCTAGATATCCTCTCCATCGAAACAAGGCTCAACTCCCTACCAAAAGACATCTCCAACCAACCCATAAAGATGGAAATCATAAATGAGGGAATCAAGGAGCAAGTGGGCTAAAGTGATGGATCCCAGAGAGCATTCTGCTCAAAGTTCGAGCGCTCGAAGTAAGCCCTTCGAGCGCTCGAAGTTAACTTGTTTAGCTCTGAGCTACTTTGGTAAAATGGCCATAACTTTCTGCTCCAAACTCCAAATGACAAACTGTTTAAATATTTGGAAAGCTAATTCAAAGTTCTAAGTACTCTATGTTTTAATAGAAGTCTAGTTCTTAAGTTTAGTAGGTCTAAAATGAAGAGCAAAGTTGAACTTCACTGCTGCCAGGCTGTTCTGTACACCTTTGGTAAAAATGACATAACTCTTTGCTCTGAACTCCAAATGAGGTAAACTTTATGTCTATGGAAAGCTGACTCATAGACCTTCATATTTCATGTTTTACTAAAGACCAAATTCGCACATACAAAGGGTCAGAATTGGAGGCCAAAGTCTGATGGAAAATGAACCGGCGCCCGCGCTGTTACAACCTTGCACCAATTTGCTACTTGCAACCTAA